ATAAAGAAAATGTTCTACATCCTACTTTGGTAAGTAGCATCTGGGGTCTTAAAAGCTTGCCAATGCCCATCTAAGATACATCTATTGGTCTCGTCCCACCCAGAGAAAAGGAGAATGAAAAAAACCAAAGACACAAGGAAGATATTAGTCCGAAGGACTAACGGACCACATGAACCACAGCCTCCACCACAATGAGCCCAGAAGAACTAGATGGTGCCTGGCTACCACCACCGACCACTCTGACAGAGATCACAATAGAGGGTTCCAGACAGAGCAGGAGAAAAATGTACAACAAAATTCAAATTCACAAAAAAAGACCAGACTTGCTGGCCTGACAGAGACTGGAGGAACTCCCGAGAGTATGACCCCCAAACACCCTACTAACTCAGAACTGAAGCCACTCCCAAATTCCACCTCTCAGCCAAAGATTAGACAGGCCTATAAAACAAACAATAACACATGTGAGGAATGTGCATAAAAGACCAAATAGGCAACATCTGCCCAAAAGCAAAGATGAGAAGGCAGGAAGGGACAGGAAAACTGGACGAATGGACACAGGGAACCTGAGAGGAAAAGGGAAAGGGGGAGAATGCTGATACATTGCAGGGATTGCAACCAAAGTCACAAAACAATTGGTGTATAAATTTTTGAATAAGAAAAAAAAAAGATTTGTAGAAATATACTTCTGCTTCTACAGATATTTAACTTTTCAGATATATATATATCAGTCTGCAATAAATGATGCTGGCACAACTGGATCTCCACTTGCAAAAGAATGAAGCTAGAGTCATACCTCACACCATATATGAAAATTAACTCAAAATTTGGATCAATGATCTAAATATAAAAACTAAAACCATAAAACCTTTAGAACAAAACATAGGGGTAAACCTTCAAGATCTTGTTTTTGACAATTGATTCTTAGATACGACGTCAAAAGCAAAAGCAACAAAAGAAAAAACAGATAAATTGAACTCCATCAAAATTTAAAACTTTTATGCATCAATAGACTTTATTAAAAAATGAAGTCAATTTACAGAATGGGAGAAAATATGTGGCAATCATAGAATCTGATAAAATTTTAATATATGTAATCAACACCATCACAACAAAAGACAAACAATCCAATTAAAAAATGGACAAAGGATATGAATAGACATTTCTCCAAAGACAGACAAATGGCCAAATAATTCCATGAAACAATGCTCAAAGTCACAATCATTCATCATCAGGGTGGAGCAAAATAAAACCACAATGAAATACTAACAAACTAACAAGTGTTGGCAACGATGTGGAGAAACTGGAACCCCTGTGCATTGCTAGTGGGAATGTAATGGCACTGCCGCTGTGGAAGACAGTTTGGCAGTTCCTCAAAAAGTTAAACAGAATTATCATATAATTCAGCAATTCAACTTCTAGGTATATACTCAAAGAACTGAGAGCGGGGACTCAAACAGAGACTTACACAAATGTTCACTCCAGCATTCACAATAATAACACAAATCTCCATTAACAGATGAATAAACAAAATGTGGTATATCCATACAATCAAATATTATTCATCCATAAAGAGAAATTAAGTTCTGATACATGCTATGACATGGATGAACCTTGAAAACCTTATGCTAAGTGAAATAAGTCAGACACAAAAGGATAAATATTATATGATCCTATTTAGATAAAATATCTAGAATAGGTAAATGTATAAAGACAAAAGTTTATTCGTGGTTACCAGGGCTGGGAGGCAGAATGGGGAGTTACTGCTTAAAGGGTAGTGAGATTCTCCTTAGGGTGTTGAAAAAGTTTTGGAAATAGATAGTGGTGAATAGATAGTGGTGATGGTTGTACAATGCGGTGAATGTGATTAATGTCACTAAATCATACACAGAAAAAGGGTTAAAATGACATATTTTGTTATATATATTTTATCACAATAAAATTATTTTAAACTAATGAGACAAATATTCAAATGGACAACAGACACATGAAAAGATGCTCAATGTCATTAGCCATCAGAGAAATGCAAATCAAAACCACAATGAGATACCATTTCACTCCAATAAGATGGCCAAGACAAAAAATGGAAAATAACAAGTGTTAGAGGGAAACTGGAGAAATTGGAACCCTTATCCATAACTGATGGGAACATAAAATGGTACAGCCATTCTGGAAAACAGTCTGGCAGCTCCTCAAAAAACTAGAGGTAGAGCTGTCATGTGACCCAGCAGTTCCACCTGTGTTCATCACTGTACTGTTTACAACAGCAAAAAGACAAAAATAAGCTACTTGCCTATCAAAGAATGAATGGATAAGTAAAATGCAGTACATACATACAATGGAGTACTATTCAGCGATAAAGAAAAATTAACTTCCAAAACATCTTGGAACATGAATGAACCTGGAGGACATTATGTTGAGCGACATAAGTCAATCACAAAAAAACAAATATTGTACATTCTCACTTAAAGGAAATGACATGAACAAGTAAATACACAAAAACTAATGTTCATTAGTGGTTACCAGGGATAGGGGAGGGGAGGAGATGGGGATTCACTCTCTAGATAGTAGACACTTGTTATTTTTGGTGATACGGAAGGTAACACCAAATGAGAGTGAAGTGTACACAGCTTGATGAAGGTAGACAATGTCACTAAAAAGAACACAAGAAAAAAAGGACCTGTTAATTGCTATGGCATATATAATTCTGAAACAACAGCAAAAAAACAACCAAAAAATATATGTGGCTATATATTTTGGTTGTTTTTTTGGTTGTTGTTTGGAGTTTTTTTGTTGTTATATATGTATATATGTAGGCATATGTATGTACAGGTATGTATATATGTGTGTATATATAGTGCATGCATATCTATGTGACTGTATGCACTTATATTCATATATATAATAAAGCACATAGGGGGCACAGTTACAGATACTTCTTAGACATAACCAAACACCTTGTGGAATTGGATTTCTCGGTTTGAAGGATTAGGACCATAGTTTTGTGGGACATCTCAGTCAATTGGCATAATATAGTTCATAAAGTTATGTTTTACATCCTAGTTTGGTGAGTAGTGTCTGGGGTCTTAAAAGCTTGCAAGCAGCCATCTTAGATACAACTATTGGTCTCTACTCATCCAGAGCAAAAGAAAAAGAAGGAAACCAAAGTCTCAAAGAAGAAACTTATCTACGAGACAAATAGTCTACATGAACCACGGCCTCATCTACCCTGAGATCAGAACTAGATGGTGCCTGGCTACCACTATCAACTGTTCTAATCAGGGCCACAACAGATGGACCCTGATAGAATGGGATAAAAATGTGGCACAGAACCTCAAATTCCTAAAAAAAAACTGACCTACTGTACTGGTTGAGACTGGAGGACTTCCCGAGGCTATTGCTCTGAGATACTCTTCAAACCTTGAACTGAGACCAACCCCTGAGGTCACCTTGTAGCTAAATAATAAATTGACTCAAAAAATAATGAATATCATCCATAAGTACTGTGCTTCTTTAAAAAAACACCTATATGAGATCAAATGGTCAACAATTACTTTAAAACAAAGATGAGAATGCAAGGGGGCAGTGAAACTAGATTAATGGACACAGAACAATCAGAACAGAAGTAATGAGAATGTTCACACATTGTGAAGAATGTAACCAATGTCACTGAACGATTTGTGCAGAAACTGTTGAATGGGAACCTGAACTGCTGTGTAAACCTTCACTGAAAACATAATAAAATATTATTAAAAAAAAAAAATGAGACTCCAAAGAAAAACAAATTGCCAATAAGCACATGAACAGACGTCCAACTCATTAGTCATTAGGAAAATACTAATCAAAACTACAACAAAATACCACTTCACGCACACTAGGATGGCTATAACAAAAAAAACTGACAATAACAAGTGTTGGTGAGAATATGGAGAAACTGGAACAATCATATGTTGCTGATGGAAATGTAAAATGGTACAGCCACTTTGGAAAACAATTTGACAGTTTCTCAAAATGTTAAACATGGAGCTCCCATCCAAAACTCAAAAAAAAGCCGTTGTTGTCGAGTTGATTCTGACTCATAGCAACCCCATAGGACAGAGCAGAACTGTCCCATAGGGTTTCTAAGGAGCAGCTGGTGGATTCCAACCGCCGACCTTTTGGTTAGCAGCCCAGCTCTTAACCACTGCACCACCAGGGCCCCAGAGTTCCCATACGACCCAGAAATTCCACTCCTAAGTATCTAACCAAGAGAAATTAAAACACAGGACCACATAAAAACTTGTACATAAATGTTCATAGCAGAATTATTCATAATAGCAAAAAAGTGAATGGATGATGGGTAAGTAAAATGTATTATATCCATACAATGGAATATGATTTGGCAATAAAAAGGAATGAAGTGTTGATACATGCTACAACATGGGACAAACCTTGAAAACATCATGTAAAGTGAAAGAAGTCAGTCACAAAAGACCACATATTCATATTTACATAAATTGTTCAGAATAGGAAAATCTATAGAGTTAGAAAGTATTATTAGTGGTTGCCTAGGCCTGGTGGCACAGTGGTTAAGAGCTCAGCTGCTAACCAAAAGGTTGGCAGTTCAAATCCATCAGCCACCCCTTGGAAGCCCTATGGGGCAGTTTTCCCCTGACCTATAGGATCACTATGAGTCAGAATTGACTCATCAGCAATGGGCTTGGTTTTGGGGTTGTTTTTTTTTAGGCCTGGGATGGCTGGTGGTAAAATAAGGGTGACTGCTAATGGGTACAGGGTTTCTTTTAGGAGTGGTGAAAATGTTCTAAACTTGATTGTGGTAATGGTTGCACAATTCTGTGAACACACTAAAAGGCCTTGAAATGTACATTGTAAATGAATGAACTGAATGGTATCGTGAATTACATCACAATAAAACTGTTTATTTTTTAAAAAGCCACTAGAATTTAAACCCCAGACAAAACTTCCTTGGACTATAAATACTGCATTCAAATGGTAAATATTACCTTAAACTCTGACAACCATTCCTCCACAACTCCTTTTTCTGAAGTGAACATCTTTCCACATCTGTTCTAAACCTTCAACCTAAAAATTAACATAAAAAGTTAAAAATTTGAGTATGTTTTCTTTGCTGTCAGATTACTATAGATAAAGGTAATCATATAAAGTTACTTCTTATCTGTGAAATTAAAGCAGTTTCAAACATAAATTACTAGGTTTATTTCTAAACCAAATGTTCATAAACAAGCCTTAAAATGCAAGAATTCTAACAAAAGCATAAATATAATAACATGATGAAATTGACTCTGCAATTTTCATTCAGCTTTCAGGAGTGCCAGCTGCAAAACCTATGGGACCTTTTCCCCCTAGTTTCAATTAAGTCATTCCAAAAAGATCATGCAGCTTAAGAAAATTATAGAAAATATTTCAAAACTGTGACAATATAAAAAGACATGCATCCAAAATTGACTTTGTGCAAGACATTAAGGTAATTTAATTTGCTTATATTTTAGTTTTTTATGACAGTATCAAGCCACTTAATTCCATGAATGCTTAATATTCATAAAACAAAAGTAAAAGTGACACTATCTAAGATAATGACCATATTCAACAGTAGTTATTCAGAAGATTGAGATTTACTTAAGTATAAATAAGAAAACAAGCAAGCTAAAGGAAATGCAAAATAGTTTTAACTCAAGCAGAATTTTTAGCAAAGTACAACAAAGTTTTCTTCATTTATCATCTGTACAGGACTGGACTTAGAAATTGTTTCCTGAGTGAAAATCTTACCTCTGTCTGAATTTCCTAGCCTCCTAATTCAGGTGCAAATCTTGCATTAGGCTTCTTAATTATCATCAGCATTGTAATGTAGTAAAAACTGAGGCAGAATTGCCAGAAACTGAATCCTGATTCTACTACTTACTTGTAGTATAACCTTGGGCAAGTTATTCACCTTACTCTGTTTTCTGAAATAGGAATAACTACAGTAACTACCTTTCGAAGGCTACTGTGAGGATTAAATAAAAAAATAAAAATAAAAGCACTTCTTACAGTACCTGACAATAAAGTATTACTACAGTGCAATATTATTATTAAGGGATATCAACTCTATAACCTTTGTTCAGCAGTCTATCAAGGTATACAGATAAGTCTTAATGAACAAAGGCTCTTGCCACAGAATACAGTCTAAAGTTTCTGCAGTCTAATTTTCATCAAAAACATGATTAAGAAAATAATTAGACAGATAGATATAGAGATGCATATGTGTAGATATATTCATGCATATATATATTCACTGATTCATTCATGATGGATTACTTCAGAGATAAGCATCTTATGTTTTAGAGTAAAAAATAGTCCCTTTTTTTATTGTACTTTAGATGAAGGTTTACAGAACAAACTAGCTTCTCATTAAACAGTACACATACTGTTTTATGACATTTGGTTAACAACCCCACGACATGTCAACACTCTCCCTTGTCGACCTTGGGTTCCCTATTACCAGCTTTCCTGTCCCCTCCTGCCTTCTAGTCCTTGCCCCTGGGCTATGTGCCCCTTTAGTCTCACTTTGTTTTACAGGCCTGTCTAATCTTTGGACGAAGGGTGAACGTTGAGAGTGACTTCATTACTGAGCTAAAAGGGTGTCCAGGGGCCATACTCTTGGGGTTTCTCCAGTCTCTGTCAGGCCAGTAAGTTTGGTCTCTTTTTGTGAGTTAGAATTTTGTTCTACATTTTTCTCCAGCTCTGTCTGGGACCCTCTACTGTGATCCCTGTCGGAACAGTCAGTGGTGGTAGCTGGGCACCATCTAGCTGTGCTGGACTCAGTCTGATGGAGGCCAGGGTAGTTGTGATCCATTAATCCTTTGGACTCATCTTTCCCTTGTGTCTTTAGTTTTCTTCATTCTCCCTTGCTCCTGAAAGGATGAGACCAACGGAGTATCTTAGATGGTCATTCACAGGCTTTTAAGACCCCAGACACTAGTCACCAAAGTAGAATGTAGAACATATTCTCTATAAACTATGTTATGCCAATTGAGCTAGATGTTCCCAGAGACCATGGTCCCCATAGCCCTCAGCCCAGTAATTCAATCTCTCAGGGAGTTTGGATGAGTCCATGGAGCTTCCAAGACCTTGCCTTGGTCAAGTTGTGCTAGCTTCCAACACCAAAGACATAAGGAAAGTATTAGCCCAAGAGACAGAAAGGGCCACCTAAACCAGAGACTTCATCAGCCTGAGACCAGAAGAACTAGATGGTACCCAGCTACCACCAATGACCGCCCTGACAGGGAACACAACAGACAGCCCCTGAAGGAACAGGAGAAAGGTGGTAAAAATACCAGACATAATGGTCTAACTGAGACTGGAAGAACCCCAGAAAGCATGGCCCCTGGACTCTCTGTCAACCCAGAACTAAAACAATTCCCGAGGCCAAATCTTCAGACAAAGACTGGACTGGACTGTGGGACATAAAATGATACTCGTGAAGAGTAGATACATGAGACTAAATCAGTAGCTTCTGTCCAGAGGCGAGATGAGAAGGCAGAGAGGGTTAGGAGCTGGTTGAATGGACATGGGAAATCAGGGGTGGAAAGGAGGAGTGTGCTGTCACAGCATTGGGAGAGCAGTTAGGGTCACATAACAATGTATGTATAAATTTTTATATGAGAGACTAACTTGAAATGTAAACTTTTACTTAAACTACACCAATAAACAAAACAAAACAAAGTTGTGCTAGCTTCCCTAGCATTGTGCACTATCTTCCCCTTTACCAAAGTTACCACTTATCTATTGTCTATTTAGTGTTTTTCCATCCCCATCCCTCCCCTCCCTTGTAACCTTTTCATGAGTTTTTATAGTAGTTGTCTCATACGATATTTGTCTTTTTCTGATTGACTTATTGCTCTCCAGATTCATCCACGTTGTGAGATGCTTTGCAGATTCATCATTGTTCTTTATCATTGCATACTACTCCATTGTGTGTCTGTACCAGAGTTTGTTTATCCATTCATCTGTTGATGGACATCTAGGTTGTTTCTATCTTTTTGAAACAACCCATTTATTTTTTATTCTAAGTTTTATTCTTGGAGCAAGTCGGACTTTCAGAAAACCATGTGTCTTTATCAGATTATTGATTTTACAGAACTGTCCATTTGGATGAACTGGGCTTTGGCATTATGTGCAAAATGTTACTGAAAACACTGCTAGATCACAGGTTATTCTCTTTAAAATTCAACAGAGAAGAAAGTTCGCATCCTCAGTTTTCAGTACCAGGAAAAATTCTCCTTCAGAGCAACTGGTTAGCTCAGTAAATCTCATAACTGATTCTCTTTGTTTTGTTTCTAATAACAGCCAAAGTTTCTGCCCTAATTCTGTATACAAAACAGCAGGGCAGGCCTGGATTAATTTTATTAATTGCTCTATTTTACATTCTCACACTTACTTTTTTTCTGCCTAGATCTACTTATTTTTATCTTGTTATATTGTACACATTTGTGAAGCAAAGTAAATATAAATGCACGTAAATTTTCTTTTGTATGTATCCACTATTTAGCTAATAAATTAGAACAGGAAGTTACACAAATAGAACCATGCTAAAAGAAGTGGGGAGGTAAGACTTTTACAAAAATTCAAAATAACTTCCTACTTAAATTAAGACTAATTTTTAAGAGATTAAAAGGAATCAAGAGAATACTAGGTCTGTGAAAAATCAAAAGCTTCCTACAAATTGACAAACTGAGCACATTACAAGGATGCACAAATGGTCAAGAATAACGAAGGCAATCTTGAAGAACAACAGAGCCGGAAGACTTGAACTTTTAAAATACCAAAGCTTACTATGTTGTTGTTAGTTGCCATTGAGTCAACTCTTAAAACTTACCATAAAGCTACAGTAATTAGGCCACTGTGGTATTGGCATAAGGGTAGAAAAACAGACCGATAGACTAGAAGTGAGAGGCCAAAAACAAACCTACACATACATGGTCATCTGATTTATGACAAAAGTGACACTGCAATGTGGTCGGGAAAGGATAGTCTTTTAATAAATGAGACTAGGCCAACTTGGATAGTTACATGGAAAAGGAAAAAAAGAACCATGAACGACCTCGTGGCTCATACCACATGAAAAATCAGTTCCAGCTGGATCATAGAATCTAATTCTGAAAGGTAAAACAATAAAGCTTTTATAAGAAAACACAGTAGCATACCTTCATAACCTTAGGGTGGGCAACGTTTCTTAAGCAGGAAGCACAAGAGCACTAATCGTAAGGAGGGAAAAAGGACAAACTGGACTTCTCTAAAATCAAGAAGTTCTACTCATCAAGAAAGAAGCCTTGGTGGCACAATGCTTAAGTGCTCAGCTGCTAATCAAAAGGTTGGTGGTTGGAACCCATCCAGTGGCTCTGCTGGAGAAAGAACTGGCGATCTGCTCCCGTAAAGATTACAGCCTAGAAAACCCTATGGGGTAGCTATTCTCTGTCACATGGAGTCACTATGCGTTGAAATCAACTTGACAACACCTAACAACTCATAAAGAGTCTAAAAAGGCAAACCACTGTGTGTGAGAAGATATTTGCAATTGATATATCTGACAAAAGTCTCATATCCAGAACATATAAAGAACTCCTATAAATTATTAGGAAAAAGGCATACAACCCAATGGCAAAACAAGAACTTCACTTATCCAAATGAGAATTAAATATATAGAAGGTGTTCAACTTCATTAGTTATCAGGGAAATGTCAATTAAAACTCACAATGAAATATCTCCCTCTACACATATACACATATATATGCAAGTATGAATAGAATGAAAGATTGATACACATATATATGCAAGTATGAATAGAATGAAAGATTGATAATACCAAGCCCTGAAAAGGATATAGAGCAACCAAAATATTCATACACAGCTAGTGGGAGTGTAAATTGGTATAACATCTTGGGAAACTCTTTGGCAGTATCCTCTCAACTTGAATAAATGGGTACCCTATGGATACAGCAATGCTATCCATAGAAATATGTCCAACAGAACTGTGGATACATGTTCTCTGAAAGATATGTTCAAGAACACCTACTGAAGCACTT